TTGGCGACTCTGTGGAGTCTTGTGTCTTGGGCTGGGCTGCAGGAGGGCCGGGCCTCCTCCGGCAAGGAGAGCTAAGGGCCCTGAGTGGTTTCACAGCGGCGCGTCCCCACCGCGGGGTCCCCACACCAGAACAGGACACAGGGACCACACGCCCCTCTGGGGAGTCCGGTCCCTTGCCCGGGTGTCCTTCACTGTCTCAGCCCCAGGCTCCTCACCGGGCCCTCGGCATCTCCCTCCACCATGGGTGCGCCCTCTGCCCAGGGCCCGGGGAGACTGGCCATGGGTGCCGTCTCCGCAAAGTCACTGGCCCCTCTGTCGCCGTGGTCAGTCTGGCAGGCGGGTGGGCCGCCTCTCTGCCCGGGGGAGCATCTGCAACGGCCTCGCTGGCTTCTCACTGCTCAAGTCAGAAGGATTTCACGCACTTCATGAAAACAAAACAAACGCTTCCCAGAACCGTCAGGCCCCATTAGCTCTAAGGGGTCACACGCCTGGCTTTGAAACCGCAAACTCCTGGCGGGCGCCTCTCTCACCCCAATGCCACCACCGAGGGGCCCGAGCCCCCCCGCCCGCGGGCCTGAGCTCCCCGCAAGGCCCGGGCCCCGCCCAGAGGCCAGGGGCCGAGGCAGACGCGCTCTCCCGTCCCCGCTGTCACCCTCGGGCGCGAGGCCTGGGCTCGGCCTTCCTTGTGGGACTTCCGCCCGGACTCCCAGGAAGTGCTGGCAGCCGCTGTCCGGATGCGGAAGATGCGTTCTGGACCTAACTGTGTCTCCGTGGCACATTTCGATAATCAGCTTCCCTCACTAGGAGGGGACGTGAGGCCCTCCGCCGCGACGGGGACGTGGGCCACCTGCTCCCAAGGATCAAGAAAAGCAGCCGCACCCAAAAGCCCCCGGCCGAGGCGGGCACCCCCGCGACGCCGGCGCGTCCCCGCCCAGCGCTTACCCGCACCCGGGGAGCCGGAACGCCCTCCCGCCTTCCTAGGCCTCGGGTCCTGAGGGAGCCGTGACGACCCCTGTCCACGGACCGCGGAGGCTCAAAGGAGACACGGGAAGGAGCATCCCAAGTCGCACAGCCACGCTGACAAAAAGGACGCCCGACTCCGAACCCCGTGTCTTCCCACACTGCCTCGAGCAGGGGCCACACTTACCCCGGAGGGCTGAGGTTTGGCAGGGGAGAGGGAAGAAGGCCCGAAGCAGAAGGCCCGCAGCTGCGCCCACCAAGCCCTGGGACCCGTCACGGGAGGAGGGTGCTGGCCGGACCCCCAGAGGCCGCGGCGGGAAAGCAGGCCTGGCTGCCAGGCCTGTGCCACGGCGCCGGCAGATCCCCTTCGGGACGCCAGCCCGTGGTCGGAAGCCATTTTGGTGCGGTCCTTCCGCCAGGGAAGGACCCGGCCCGTCCACGGCCCGTCCACGGCCCGTCCACGGCCCGTCCACGGCCCGTCCACGGCCCGTCCACGGCCCGTCCACGGCCCGTCCACGGCCCGTCCACGGGGACGCCGGAAACCCCGGCAAACGCCTGCCGCCCAGATGCCGTCTCCGCCTTCCGGAAGAAACGGAGCTTGGTTGTGGCGTCCGCACGGGCTCTCAGGGGTGCCCAGAGGGGCTTACCGTCCCCTCACAGCCACGGCCACCACTCAGCGCAGGCTTCAAGCCGGCAGCGGGGCCACGTCAGTCACCGTCCAAACCGGGCGCTTCCGGAAGCCGGCGGGGATGCTGCTCATCTCTATGCTGCTAAGCAGGGCTCGCGGCCCCTGGCCTGAGCGAGTCGGGAGGTGACCCCTGCCCGTGAGGGACGAGCGAGCGCGCGGGGCCCGGGGTGGGGGCGCGGGCAACCCGCAGAGGAGCACGCAGCGCCTCGAGCGGTGAGCCGACGGCTTTGACTGCGACTTTACACGGCAAACTTCAGTGTTTTATGATGATACCTCGTGGTGATGGCGATTTTAAAAAGCTTTTTCTGAGAATAGAATGGGCAATTAGAGAGTGCAGCGAAGAGCAGATGAAGGCGGTGAGTGCAGTTTAGGGGTGCGCGGGCCGCACACCGGTGCCGGTATTTCGGTCGCATGGCTGTGAGTCTTCCCGGCTGACCGGAGCGTCACCTGCCCGTGATGTATGTACTTAAACTCTTTTGAATTCCATTTTCTTACCAGAAAAACCAATTTGCTTGGTTTAAAAAACTGATAATCAGTTTGGTACTCACCTCTAAATATGACCTTAAGAGCAAGTTTTATAGTTTAAAAAACATTTAAA